CGTTTTTTCGTAGCAAATGTTCCCATAGATGTTCTAAATTTTCTTCAGATACACAGATTAACATGATGATGATGACGATGATGTTAGTTTGCATTAAGTGATGCCCTTCTTAAAGTTCATCTGCTTCATTAAATAAAGAATCAGGCATAAAAGCAATTACGAATGTAAGAAAAATTGGAGAAATTGGTGTAATTAGATCTCCTACACTCCTGAAATGAAGCATACTTTCGATTAAAGTAATGACTTTTGTGCTGTTGAAAATATTCAACTCCCAAATAGGAAATCGACCTCCTGACGACGGTAAGCAGAATTAGGATTTAGCATGAAAAGGGAATATTTTTCTCAGAATCATCTTCGGAACCAATTGCTCAAACAAATTTTAAATTTGTATCCTCTTAAAAATGCACCTCTTTGTGATGCGGAGGGGGGTGCCTATTTGATAGGTCTCTTTTTTTGCCTTACCAAACTGTTGCTTAAAAGAAGATGCAGAAAAAAAGAGAGAAGTTAAGATTTAACGCGGCTGATTTTCCTAAATTGCTTTATCTCTCTAAATGCCTCTATTATTTATCTAATTCACCTTCATGGGAAAGTAGAATTTTGAAGGAATTGGGGATAAAAAACATTACCACGCCATTCGTCTTGAGTGAGCGCGGCTTGTCTAATTTATCTCTGCAATCAATATCCGCCCAGATCACGTTGACCTCTTTCTCAGGTAATGGAAAATGAATTTCATCTGCCAGGCCATTCATCTCGCATGGAAGCCAAGTAATGAGCACAAGGAATCGTAGATAATTAGTTGCTGCAATCCCGAGTGAAAAACCGTGAAATTTGAATTTTAGAAAATAGAGACCTTTTTCCCAGAAACGAAAAATGGCTGAAGTGAAGTGATCATCCCAAATTTATTTCATTTCATTCAGGGCACATAGATGTAGAAGAAAGTGGGATGAATCAAGTCCTGATTGATGAATCTGCAACTGTTCATATCGCCGTGCAAATCTCCTTTGACTAGATGCAATGTAATATTTTTTGTGCTGTTATGGGAAATAAAAAGGGCACAAAGTCCTTTGTGTTGAACGGAATGTGCGGTTTCGATACCGCTCTGTGGATTTAACTCCATGTGAAGAAAATACGAAGGTGAATATATTCACTTTAATTACTTTATAACTGTTAGAAAAAAAAACAAATAATTTTAGAACACATGGCCGATGACTTTTGGGTAACCATTTAGAAATAAATTCAATTGTGGATATCCGATTCCACATAAGCCAACTTTAAGGGGGAGCGTATGTTTGAATATTTATTTATTTTAATCAAATGGCAGGCGTTTTGATAGTTATCATTGAGCCTTTGGATGACATCAGGCTTCACAGAGAGGAAGGAACATCAAAGCTTAAAACTAAAATCGAAGAGTGCTTCACGGGTGCAAAAGAGACAGACACAAAGGTAGAGAAAAAGGTGAGGTGAGTACTGTGGACAGACACAAAGGTAGAGAAAAAGGTAAGGTGAGTACAGCACAGACACAAAGGTAGAAAAAAGGTGAGGTGAGTACTGTGTACAGACACAAAGGTAGAGAAAAAGGTAAGATGAGTACTGTGTAAGACACAAAGGTAGATGAAAGGTGAGGTGAGTACTGTGAAGTGACACAAAGGTAGAGAAAAAGGTGAGGTGAGTACTGTGGATGAAATCCAATATGATATACAGTAGGGCCATGGTAGTTTGAAGTCGTTAATAGACTTTTTTGGCGAATGAGTATACGTTCCTCAGGGTGTACCACGTGGAGGTAAGTCTATCGCACACCCCATATTGGAAAATTGAGCATAAATTGATTAATGAATTAATTCTAAAAAGCATTAATAAGTATAGAAGAGCTTCAAATAACCTAAAAGCTTATTAAGAGCTCAAAGCAAACAAAGCTTCATGGCTAGCGAAAAATTGACCTGAAAGGAACATGTTTTAACCGGCTCTGTCTATGAGGGACTCTAACCAACGAGTAGGCGTCACTATGATTACCATGATACTTCATTCTCCACTAAAATAAAAACAATGGAACATAGTCAACTGAAGAGTCTTTGTTAGTGCCTCGATCGCTTAGACAAGATAAAAATTGAATAAGTATTCATGTATCACGTGACTAACACTTGACACCCCCACTCGACTGCGTATTTTTGCGTTTCAGTATTAAATGGTCCTAAACACCAAAAAGTAGTGCCATAACTCATTGAGTGAAGCTTTAATGAAGTTTAGATAATGAAGTGTCAAACACTTATTTATTTATTTCAAATAGCAGGCGTTTTGGAAGTAACATTAGCCCTTTAGCTGACTTCGGGCTTCAGAAAGTGGAGGAGGATCATGGAAGTGAAAAAAAGTCGACAGGAGAACAGAATAATGATTCACAGATGTAAAAGAGGTAGACGGACAGACAGACACAAAGGTAGGGAAAAAGTGAGATGAGTACTGTGGAAGTAGTCGAATATGACATACAGTGGGGTCATTGTGGTTTGAAGTCAGAAGTCAACTGCCGGTTAATAGACTTTTTGCCGTATGAATATACGTTGCCCAGGGTGCACCACTTGGAGGTAAGTCTATCGCACACCCCATTCTCGAAACTTTGTATAATTAGTTTACAAGTCGAAAGAAGGTCGATTTCATTTAATATCAATTTCTTGTGAACTTACATTTTCAATAATCGCAATTCTTAATCCATCGAAAGTCTGTAAGAATCATTCATCTCCAATTGCATTATTTTAAAAAATCAGTGATTGCACCCTTCATAACTACATATCGTTCAATTTTTAAAAGTTTTGACTTATATTTTGATGTTTATTTTATATTTTATATTTATTTATATTTATATTTATATTTTAACCATCTAGATAGAGTATTTTTATTATTACTATTATTAGTATATAACTTGTACTTTAAAGTGCCTCAAGTTAATGCGACAGCCTGTACTGATGTCACGGAACAAAATCTCAAACCTTCTTTCACTGAACCTCCACAAAAGAAAAGTAGTAAGTTTAATTAAAGTTTCGATGGTTTTTTCTCGTAATTTGCTCTTTAAAGTATATTGAACTTACGAATTAGACAAGGGATGTAGCGCTTTAAGTATTGGCATATTTAACAAAGATACGACAAAAGTCTTACGAACTTTGTGAGCACCAATTCTGAAATCTAATATTTTGAAGTTATGTAATTTACAAAAGGGTAATTATATTCTGTCAATCATAATTTGCTGATTAGTAGGTCACGTTTAAAGGGTGTTCACTTTAATCTCTTAACCCAACTGTTCCTTATGTCGGATCTTTGACATAATTTATTTATTTACTTATATCAAATGGCAGGCGTTTTGTTACTTACCATTAGACCTTTAGCTGACTTCGGGATTCACAGTGATGTGGAACATCAAAGTCACAAAAATTTGAGAGGGGGGAACAGAAGAGTGTATCACAGATCTAAACGAGGCAGAGAGACACAGGAAGGGAAAAATGTAAGGTGAGTACTGTGGAAATGATGGAACATGACATACAGTGGGGTCATGGTAGTTTGAAGTGAGAAGTCAACTGCCGGTTAAAAGACGTTTTTGGCGTATGAGTATACGTTGCCCAGGGTGCACCACGTGGAGGTAAGTCTATTGCACACCCCATCTTTAAAACAAAGAAAGACCTTAATGCTTAAATTAGTTTTATTCTTGACTACATGTTCATTATGAACATTAGAAAAAAAAATAGTGTTATGCTTAAAAGCGTGGCATATATTATTTTAAATTTAAACACCTGGTTAATGAAAGATTTTTTAAGGTTCTATTTGTTCCTCTTCTTTAACGAGCAGACACGGCCAAAAAGTCCAGAAATCGAACTGCATTCACAAGGGAGGAGAAGGAATACTTAATAAGCGCCTTCGAGAAGAATTTCTACCCTGACGCTGAGGGGTTTGCTGAATTGGCCAGGGTCACTAATCATACGGAGAACCAAATCAAGGTATTTTATCTCCTATGCACGCATTTATTTATTTGTCATTTTGTGTGGTGTCATTTTACTCCTCTCTCTCGTCTTTGCGATTTGTAACCGTCGATTTCTCTTCCTCTTCGAGGTATGGCATCAAAATTGGCGATCAAAGAAGAGAAAGGAGAAGTATTTCAAGAAGGGTACGACTTGGTGTGCTTGGAAACTAAATTTTGGTTTCATTATGCTTAATTTTTTTTTGCATTTTCCTGCAGCTCCAGGAAGACCATCGGCAAATGATAAAAAGTCCTACTGGGGTGTTCCAATGACTCCGGAGGAAATTGAGCGAAGAAACTCCAAAATAGCCATTAAAAAAGCTAAAGGTCGTGATGGTGGCGGTGGCGGTAGTAGCAGGACGCATCCAGATGCTCCTCAGCAATAACCAAATTTCCAATCACTTTCATGTGCAGTGTATGATTTTGGGTATAAATTTATACTAAATAAATTGAGATATTTT